ACTGGAAATAATATAGACGTATTAAAAATGTTTTATGTACAAGCTTCTAATTCAAGAGCTTCCCTCCAGATCTCTGGGGATGATCGTTTCTACAATAAATATGTATATATATAAAGCGTTCATTTCAAAAGCTTTACTCTGAATCTCTGGAAATGGTCGTCAATTTAAACATGCTATATATCAATAAATAAGTGTTCTTTCAAGAGCTTTCCTTTTATGAAAACACATATATATATATATGGGATATCTACTTTCCCAGAGATCCAGAGGAAAGCTTTGAAAATGCAAGCTCTTACCCGCAGAAATCTAGAAGAAAGCTTTTAACATACAAGGTTTCTATATAGTTGTTTAAATATAAAAATGATTATCTGCAGAGATCTATAGAGAATATGTTATAACATAAATGCGTCTATATAAAATCGTTCCAAATCTAAACATAGTTATAAGCAGAGATCTAGAGGACAAATGTTAAAATAAACACTTTTATGGCCTGCTTCTTTCCTAATTATCTTGTTCAAAACCATCTGAATGACTGATTGCTGCTTCCAACACAATAAAATGACCCTGACTCAGAAATACATAATATATTTGTTCATATAGAGAGAGCAGGAATAGATTAAATTATATGCTTGTTTATATGGAGAGGGGCTGCCACTGAAGCATTTACCTAAAATTTTTGAAAAAACAAAACCCAGGCCCCATGACCACCCGCTCTCAAAAAGAAAGCAGGGAGAACTGCACTCTATGAGCCGTGATTCACAGACAGCCGTGTTTCTCTACCCGTGGCAAAGGCCTCCATGCAAAAAAGAATTCAGGGACCGATGTTCAACATCTTCAACAGACTTCACAGACCCAAGTCATGGAGTCCATGTTCTACCTCCTGTTAAGGGAACCACCACACCACCCCACCACACCGAGCCCCGCGGCCTCCCCAAAACACGGTTCGGTTCCGCCCACCGCGCCACCGCGCCACCCGTCGCATGTCGGTGCCCAGGGGGCCGTGTGTCGTCGACCCAGGACGAGGCGGACCGTCTTCTCCAGCGGCGGCAGATCCGCCGAACCGGTCCTCGCGTCGCCGTGCCGACAGAAAGACGAAGCGGTCGGAGGCGGAACGGCTTTCGTGCAAAGACTGCGTCCAAACATGCCTACCATCGCCAGTATGGGAAGCTATCGCACTGGATATAGTGGTCTGATCAGCTCACAGATTTGAGGTGATTTGAGGTCATGCCCCCAGCCCCCCTGTCATGGCCAAAGACTGAAGAAGAGTCAGCTGCAAAGAAACATGACACCAGTAGCCTGCGACGGTTGGAAAATGGTTCGAGATCAATGCCCTCAACACAAATATGGTATCAAGAAATGGAATAGCGGGTGAAGCAGATTTCTGGCCATGATGCCATGGAATAGAACTTCATGCAGTTGCATCACCACTTCCACTAGTCTACCACTCCAGACACCACTTCCACAAGTAGTCAGTTCTAGTAGTGAAACTTCTTCCCGCCCTTCCACATCCTTCCACCTTGGATCCATCCACCTTCTTCCTCACCCATCCGAGACGCGCTGGTCACACGCCCCGCGTCTTGTCTGGTGCCTCGCCAAGGTTTGTATACCTTGGAGCTTCTCATGCAACTGCCGAGCCTCCTGGCGACAGAGTATACCGGGAACAATTGGGGGATCGGGTGACCTGGGGATCGGCGGTGCCGAGGTCGATGAGTATTCGTTGGGTTCCAAATGAGTGTTCAGCTACTTGCACCTAGGATGTATTTCGATCAGGTATCCAGAAGTGTCTCAAATTGTAGGCTCTTTTCCACCCCAGAGTATACCCGGGTTGCCCCAACCACCTAGCTGCTTCAGCAAGTCACTAGGCCCTGGTCACCATGATGGGCCGTCTCAAGGGCCCAGCCCAAAACCCCACAGCCCAAAGGGGCCCAAAGGAGTGATTTGCTGGGACCCGGGCACTGCACTGACTGTTCGGAACGAGCACCAAGCGGCACGCTGCGTTCAAAGAAATTCTACAAACACTCGTTTAGTAGCAGCTACTAGTAGCGTCCTTGCTCCTAGTAGCAATGCCAGGAGCTACTAGTAGCTTCTTGCTCCTAGCAGGTCTGAGTCTGAGACTTTGTTGCCACAAAGTCCAAAGAAACGCGCCACATCAAACGAGGCCCGTGATCCAACGCCCCTAAGAAAAATCTAGAGGTAAAATGAGATAAATCCACCCACACCGCTTGTCGGTGCAGGGCGTGCTATTGGGGCACTTGCCGTCGAGCTCTGCATTCTAGCAAAAACATCCTATGCATATAGCTCCCCTAGGAGCGCGTGCGCACTGGGGAGAGCGCTTTGAGGTACATTGTTGGATGATTTTTCGTTACGTGCTTGCAGGGCCACTGGGGAGAGCGTTTGGAGGAGTGTTTGTATTTTGGGGTGGTTGCTGCGTTGATTCTTGCTCGGCTGCAGGGCCACTGGGGACAGCGTTGTGGAGGTGTACTTTTGGATGGCTTTTGGCAATGCCGAAGTTGTATCACCATTATGGGCCCTAAGGTAGATGAAGTTGGCCCCAAGATGGCTAACACAGCCAACCTGGCACCTAGATGGCTGCACCTGTCCCCCATTTGGAGCCAAAAACGTCCTTTATTACAAACCTCCTTCACTTCTGACTTAGGAATCACAAACCTCCTTTATTACAGCATCACCCCGTGAAGCTCCATTTCACTAACTTCGGATGTTCATGCGCGGTGTGGGCGGCTGTCGACGCGAAGCGTCTCGCCAGCCGACCAGCCCTGCCGGACAGCGGAAGCTTCGCCCTTCGGTCGGAGCGATGCCCTGTCACTAGTAGCTTCTTGTTCCTAGTAGCGATGCCAGGAGCCCCTAGTAGCGTCCTTGCTCCCAGTAGTAAGGCCAGGAGCCCCTAGTAGCTTCTTGTCACTAGTAGCTTCTTGTTCCTAGTAGCGATGCCCTTTGTTCCTAGTAGCGACCGGAATTCGTCCTTAGACTGCTCCATGCTCAGGCAGTGCTGAACCATCTCTGTCAAGTGCTGCAACCTGAGTGAACTGACTGGACCAGTGAAAACACATCAGAGCGATAAAAAGAATTGCATAAAGGGGCATCTCAGAATCCTTGGGTTTGGGGCTCTTGAATCTTTGGTTAGACCATTGATTCAGCGCTCTTCGGAAGAATGGGAGAACATTGCGTTCCTTTGCACACATGCTTTGCTTCATCCATCAAATCTAGGTGTTCCAGCAGGAGAGATTGAAGATCTCCATTTGCCCCGAGCAGCTGAAAATTGGTGTTAAGTACCTGCAATCAATCGCCGCGATCTTAGTGGAAGGTCTGGGGTTAGCTAAGCAGCTGGAGCAGTGTTGGGACACTTGAACAGGGTTGAACTATTGCCTTAAATTCAGTGTGTGTATATATGTATGTATATGTATATATGTATATCTATATATGTGTGTGTGTAAATTATATGCATAGATGAAACATTACATAACTTGTCTGCCAATGACGCTGCTTGAAGAATCAGAACATCCTTCCCTTCCTCTAGCGGTGAAACGAGGCTCCAAAACCAATGCATAGATGCACGAACCACTGTTCCCCCTCAAGCAAACACTGGTAGATTCTGTAGGAACCGCCATGGTTTTCACGAATCGATGGCACCTGCGGGGTTCACGATCCCTCAAGACAGATCCACAGCTCGGGTGGCTCCAGCTGGTCGTGTCTCTCACGTGTCGGGTCTCGGGGACGTTCCTCACCCGGTTCATCCGCCTCTTGCACATCCTGCCTGGCCGGTGTCGTGACACGGGTTCTGAGGCCGTAAAACAGCAGCCAAAAAAGCTCGTTAGAAACAAATGCACATCTGCGAAGACACTCCAAGTGTTTGGTTCTTGACATCCCTTCTTCAAAACAGCCTGAACTGCCAAGAAATCCTGTGATGCACATTCTCCAAAGTTCAGCCAAGCAACCCATCAGCAAAGCTCAGGCTGATCTTGAGGTCTAGCGGCGGCAGCAGGCCTCGCCCACTCGCCACGAGAAAGCTGGAAACAACAATTCGCTCATTGTTCACTCTAGAAAAGTGTGCATCCTCGACTCATCGAAAGGCTTTGGGTAAAGTCTAGTCCAGAAGATGATCACCAGTGTCAAAAGGTCTTGTACTTTGACCCTATGGAGCCATCTCTTGTCCTCGCCGAAGACAGATACACCCAAACCCACCCAAAACTGCCTGCCTCCAGCCTTCATGGCGCCGACCGACTCTAGACCCGGCAATCGAACCGGAGGCCCCGATGACGAGGAGGTTTCTTTTGATTTTTTGACACGCTTGCATACCTCCAGAAGGTTGGTGATACCAGCGGCATCTTAGCAACTGTAGGAGGATGTCTACCCGTCTACCTCTTGGTGTTACATTTTACTTTGAGAGGTGATTCCTCTTCTTTTTCCTGAATGAAATTGAAACCATTGAATAACTCTCATAAGTGTTGGTTGTTTCTGTCTTAGCATTCCTTGAGCATATCTTCTCAAGCCAACTACTGGCTGTAGGTGCCAGCGAGGTCTTTCGAGCCAAAAGGGAGCGATGTCAAAAGCTGTTTGACCCTATCTGGCAGGTTTGCATTCCAAGCCATTTTCTGAGCAGTGTGACTCACTCTTTCTGAACAAGTGTGTGGAACCACTATACAAGCAGAACACTTCGGCCCCTGGAAGACCATTGCTTCCATGTTTGTTGGAGGGAGGGCAATCCAATTCAACAAACCAGGCTGACCGGCAACAATCCACCAGCTGAGGTGAATCTTGATTGTGACAGGGAGCATCTTGATCAAACCCCGCATCTTGATCAGGCTCGGAACATGTTGAATTTCTGGGAACCTTACAATCCTAGGCACCCCAAACGCGTCAAATTGTTTGGAAACAGGTTGGAACAGGCGTTGGGACCTCCGCCTTACTAAGCACAACAAAAACCCAATGGCATGAATGGATGCAATCGACAAAGATCCCTGGACCAACTGTCTCCAAGGCTCTCTTCTGAGATTCGCATGATGCCACCACCTCCAAAGCAGATCATGGCTGGCGTGGGTCTCACAGAATATATGACCTCAATTCGTAACCAGTATGTATGACAATGTATGACCTCATCAATATCTGACCTCACCAGTTTGAATCAGTATGACCTCATTTGTATCACCTCATCAGTGTGTCTCTCCCTTGGCTCATTCGTGTGTGGACCTGTGGCACCGACGACGAGGAACCGAGCCCGTCGCTCTTGGAATCATCCACCGACGATTCGCCACTTCAGAGCCCCAGATCCATCGCCCCAAACGAAAACAAGCAGAGGACATGAACAAATGGTTCAAGTAAGGGAAACAAGTGGCAGAAACGCCGATGTCTGTCTTTTTCGTGGCCGCCAAACGCACGAAAATCGGAAAGTAATGGTCACACATGGCCGAAGTCATGGGGGATATGGTCAATATTCAAGGTCTGCGAAGTGAAAGATTTGAGGACCCCAATCAACAGAGACATGGAGGATGCGAATCTCTCACACCTGTAGTGACAGAATAAATCCATCTTCACCTACTTGACCTCTAAAACCTCTTTCCAAGACTGTATATAGATGTATCTTGAAAGATGAAGCAGCTATACTTGCCCAAAACTTCTCCAAAAGAACTGACCAGATCTGCCTTCTCAGTCGACCAAGCAAATCCCAGCGAAATCCGAAAACCCCAAACCCAAACCAAAAACACCGACCTGTATACGTCAGCAGGCCCATACCCACCGAGAGAATCAATGCGATGATCTCAGCTCCATGTCGGAAGGCAGAAACCATGCACCAGCGAATGAATCTTCCGGTGTCGACTCTCCTGCTTTATGCATGGAATATTGGAAGACTGGAATATGCGTTCATGGAATAATTCATGGAAGATGGGAAGACTGCGGGCATGGAAATATCCTGAAGTAGTGGGTTGGTTGAGACTGGAGGTCACAGGTTTTGGACGACCTGTTTGCAAACCCTACAAATACATTGCCACAACAATACCCCTAGTGGCAACTGGTCAAATCCTGTTTAATTATGTATCTATTCCATGTTATTCTTTGCCGGGGCTCTAGCATGCTCTAGCTTCGCGATGGTTCAAAACACCCAAGCACCCTGTGTACCATCCGAAGAGTGAACAAACCAGTTGCTTTAGTTAAGGGATCTTCATCTACCATTGCTTTCGAAGTGTTGCAGTGGGTCACCACCGCCATGCCCAGTCCATCCGCCAAACCGAGGACTCCAGGGCCACCGGGCCCAAAGCATCATGCACCATGCGGCCGACCAGCTGAAGATGCCCTCCACCAGTCCCTCCGCATCACGGTCGTCTCGACGCGTCGTCCGGACGGCCACGCTCCGCAATCAGCAGCAGCCGTGGGTGCGCGGCTCCACAGGTCGTTGCCCGTGTGGATCTTTGCTTTGGTTCTTACCCTCTGGGCATTCATGGTCGCTGGTGAAGAGAGTGCGAAGCGCTCGCGCGATCTCCCAAACAGGGGGCAAGGAAGAAGAAATGGAGTTCATTCCCAAAACTCTTGAGCTTTTGAGCGAGTTCCCACATCCATCCACTGTCTCAATCTGTTGGATTCCAGCATACTCTTGACAACAAATCCGCACCAACCGGCAGCTTTCTGCAATGCAGAAACACTCTATTCCAACGGCCGGGCCGACATGTGAGAGACTCTTGGCTTGTGTCAAACCAAACTGTATTCAGCGTGAAGTGTCTGGGAAAGACTAGGAGGTTTTCCGAATGACCCCGTCAGATGCGACCCAAGCCCCAATATTAGATAACTTCGGTCATGGGTTGTCTCCTGGTGACTCTCGGTGTGTGTGGCCCCTTGCCCACAGCTCCATCCGATTGCGATCCCATTGGTCCATTCGACTTCCAAATCCGTCTGTGAAGGTTCCAACCCCTCGCTTCCCTTCACCTCGAACCTTCAGCCTTTAGCCCTTTGGCCGTTGGGTTTCAACCCAGCTGCTTTCCCCCACCTCCTCCTCACCCTTCTGCTCCATGAGGAGCTCTCATGAGGACGCCAGGCCGAATAAAGGCCCCTGCACCACGCAGCTTGCACTCGAAAACCGGAACAAGTCGTGCAATGCGAAACGATGAACCCAGGGCGGCCGAAGGCAGCGAATTCGTTGGACTCGAAGACTGAACGCACTCAACTGACTTAACTTCTGATCAGTGCAAAAATACATGTAACATCATGCAAGCAATGCTCATGTTCTCTGGCATTCTCCCAAATGTAGGGGAGTGGTCAATAGTCAACATCCCGGCAACAACAAGTAAAAGACCGTTCGGGTGTCCTAGCTGTGCCTGATTTGGGACGGACACAGAGCAATCCATCACTCCGTCTACCACTGAACCTAGGGGTTGCTTCAAAAAAGGAATTCTTTTCTCGCGCCTTAAAGCACGCCATCCGGCCTTTCCATTTGAGCAGGACAGCGGCACTCTAGAAACGCCCTTTCTGCCCGAGGGCGGCAAGGTTGTTGGTGTGCAACCTTTCATGGTGGTAGTTGTTTGAAGCGAGCTTTTTTCTCTGAAACCACAATGTCGCAATGCAGCTCTTTGCCTGCAACACTGGTCACTATGAACCTGCAGCGGACAGCTCTTGTTGGGTTGGTCCATCTTCATGTACAATAAATATGTGTGGTTTCTTTGAAAAACGAAAAAAACATATCTGTCTCCTGTTAACAGGATCAGTGGTATTTTGCTTTTGACTCAGATGGAACAAAAACTGCTGCATGATACTTCGGGTGTAGCGGCGTAGCGGCTACAGTAACTGCACCCGAACTGCTTCCAAGGAGGTCTCTTTGCCTAAGTGATGAGTGCCAAAACCACCTTATACATGCTGAGCCAGAAATGCTTGGCGGCTGAACCAATCTGAAAACTAGGTACACCCCAAAACCCGGTGGATACACTCCGAGACTTGCTAGTCAGGGAGGTCCGAGACTTGTCTTGAGACACTCAGTGACTATTGTAATCTGAAAGCAACACCTCGTGAGCCACATGTTTCCTTTGTTGGTGAAGGATGCTAATCACTGCTAATTCACTGCCCAACGCGGGCTGTAAGCAGGCATAGACCTGGGGTCCATGGATGCCCTTCATCTGCAACACTTTGGCATTGGAAAGTCCGCCAAAAAGTGTTAACTTCCCAAAAGTCAGCGATGAAATTGAATTCCACTGCCACCGACCCAGGTGGCTGACACTTTGCTTTGGAAAAAGCCGAAGGTGTGGGTGGACCAAACACAGACTCATCCAAACAGGTTGCTCACAGTTGTCCCGTTTTCTTTGCTGAAGAAGCGAATGATAAGCGTGCCACGTACTTGAAGAAGCGAACATAGGCTGTCCGAGAATGAGGGAATCCCTGGGATGTCAATGCGTGTTCAATGGATGTTCCTCTGTTTGGTGGTATTTTCCTGGTGTTGCCCAAAAGAACGGGCATGGCCAAAAACACCCGGCCAATCAAGTCAGCTCCAATCTTTTACTCGACGCCGAGCATCAAAGCGGAGACTCCTGCGCAAAGGAGCTTGAAATCCGGACATGGACGCAAACGGCCAGGTTGCATGCTCCATTTGCAGTTCTGCCATAGTTTGTGACGAAACCGACATCAAGAAAAGAATGCAAAAATGTGGTCGCATATGGAAAAAAACGTTTCCACACCGGATATCCTTGGCAAGAACCGGCATCATCCTGCCAAGAACAACCAGTAACTGTATGTAACTACAGTAACTAGTATTTATAAAAAAGTGTAGTCATATACGCCTCCCAAGCTGGTCCGAGCACCGCTCCTCCGCGCCGCCTGCCGACGGCCTGCGTCGCGGCCGCCGGGCCGGATCGATGCCTCGGAGGCTCCGGGCCCGGCATCCGAGGCAGTCCGGACGCCATCGGAGCTTGGGGCGTTCCCCCAAACCGGAAAGCAATTCACGCCAAAAAACAAGCGGTTTGAAGCAATCCATGATGTCGGTGGGGTTCCCCCCCACAATCCAAGACCAAGCAATACCTCTTGTTGAAGCAAGCCAACTAAAACGACCGGTAGTAGTCTCAACGGGTCCAGCGCACCATCCGTTTTTAAGCCAAACCAACCTGCTTTGACGCGCGCAAAGCCATCTGTTCACCTCTGTGTTCAAAATTCCGACATCCCTATGGTGCAAGGTACAGGCGAGGAATTGGCGCTGGTCTGGTCCGATTTCCACGTGTATCATATCGACCTCCTTGCCCACCCAGCTGTTCAAACTCATCCGGTGAGAGTAGGGGATGTGGAGTTGTCGGCGTGTCAAGTCCCATCGCATATGGCAGAAATCACCTTTAAAAGCCACCGGGTGCTGCCAAAGTCGAGCAAAAAATGTCCGCAATGGTCAGCGTTCTGCAAAATCCAATACCTCTGAGACGGTCCCTGGGTCACAACCGGGAGTACTGTCAGGTCTCCAGTCACCCGTCCCGAGTGCCAAACCCGCCCAGGTTGAAGGGCACGAACCACCTGTCCAGATAGCGGACAAAAGGTCGACTGGTTTCGCTTACAATGGCTTTCAGCTTTCCATGTTTTGATCAGCTCAGGCCGCTCTATTTCACACCGGGCCAGGACGTCAAGCGATTCTAGGGTGTAGAGGTCTTGGCCTTGACAGGTGCATCGACCCAGAGCCAAACCGAGTCGAATTTAATGACCGTGTCCTTTTGCACGAGCTCGGGTGGTGTCCTCAAATTGCAAGTTGACTTGTCTGGTTGTGCGTAGCACGTAATGGGCTGCTCTGCATTTGCTTTGTTGTAGTGGAACGCATAGTGCTTGATTGTACCCACAGTGTCATACTTGGCTTCATTGAAGCATTCATAGGGACTCTTGGCCATCTTCTTTGTGTCTATCATCTTCTTGCAACTCATCTTCTTTGGCACGTGAGAGTAAAGCCAGCCTTCCTGCTTGGCGCAAACACTTATGCGCAACTCCAGCATGTCATCAGTGCATGTTTCCATCTCCTTGGGGATACAGCTGGTAGGTGTATCCTGCATCTGTATCAGAGAAGCTCTCTTGAGTTTCCTTTCTTTGAACCAGTCTTCCTGGAGGGCCTTCTTCCGGATGTTGGGCTGAAGCTGCAGGAGCTGCTCGGTCACTTCTTTCCCAGCCTCCGGCTTTGGCTGCAGCCAGGTGTAGTTCCGGCCCATCTCGGAGTCGACGCCTTTTTGGGTCCACAGAAGTTGCAAGTCTTGGCCAACATAGGCCCCGGCCACATCTTTGCCCTCCTGGCTCAGGTCGTTTTTGGAGGCCAAGTCTGCATCGTGCGTGCTCAGCACCGAGTTGCACATCTCTTCGCGGCTGGAATTCTTCAAGACCTGAGGAAGGCTACGTATACCGTATACACAGCAACATCTTTCGGTTCTAAGAAAGCATTTCTTTGCTTCATGAGTTTAGTGGCCTCTCGCCTGCAACAAGGGCTTTTGAAGTGTAATCAAGCACGTCACTTAACCAAAGTAGCAAATCTAATTTGTTGCCCAACAAAATTCATCGGACTGAAAAAGCACTTGAAGAATGCGTTTCGCTGTGCTTGGAGTCCACTGAGATGCTGACGTTGTATTCTGTACAGCACTCAGCCTGCCAATCGGCCTTCTGCTGCTCGTCGAAGAAAGGCCAGGAGATGCAGCTGCGACCGTTCCACCCACAGGACCGGCCGCAGCATCCGAAGATCTCCGCTTCGACCTTCTTCACCACGCGGGCCGCACACGTCTCACTGATGGGTATGGCCCGATGAGACATGTCCCTCTGTATCACATGCATTTTCTCCTTCGTCTTATTCACGAGCTCTTGGCATTCGTCGTGGCACACACGGGTCAAATGCCAAGCGGCGGTCTTCGGAGCCTTTCGAAGCAACGCGTCTAGGCGACCATAGGCACCAGCCGCCCTGCGATTCGAGAGCTGCTCCTCGCACACAGACAGTGGGGGGACGTTGTGTTTGGAACCCTTCCTGGCCGCTGCTTCGCAGAACGCCAGGGCGGCCGTCTCCACGGGGCTCTTGATGCTCTTTGCGTAGTCATCGGGATCCTGGCATCCGCATCCAGCAGCATTGCCCTCAGCGGAGAAGAATTCTTGGCCAGGCCTGGAGCATTCAAGGCTCGCAACCTCCCTGAAAACGCAGCGGCAAAGAACTTTTGCGGTCAGTGAGTCGGTGCCATGTGGCTCGGCTCCAAAGTCCTCGCAAGGATCTGTCTGGTCACAGCGGCATTCAGAGGCATCAGACAGGCTGAAGCTTTTGGTGAGAGGCTTCTCACAGTGATTATTTGTTGCTAGTCCTTCATGGCACTGACACCAAGAGCCTTCTTTCTTGGCATGAAACTGTTCGCAAGGATCTTCACAGCGACACAAACCATTGCGAATTTCTGTGAGGTCAAAGGCTTCCGCCAAAGGCTTCTGGCAGTGTGAGTTTGTCACAAACCTTCCCTTGCAAAGGCACCTGGTGCCTTTCTTTCGGCCTCTAAAGTTTTTGCAAGGATCTCGTTGCGCCACAAAGGCCTCCTGACTCACAAGTTCAAGGCGCGGGCGGGCGGCCTTCACCACAAGTAGCAAAAGAAGAAGAAGACTTGCCAAACAACGAAAAGCGCACATGGCGCGGGATGGATGGAAACATTGTGAGTATTGCCGCAGTCAATATGTGGCTCGTGCCGAAAGAAGTGAACAAGCAGTAGTGGAGGTGGTGGACAACTGCTTCCACTACTGGCTCAGCAGAGCGCTCAAGTTGAAACAAAAGCAGAAACGTGCTCTATGTCCACGAGAAATCAACGTGAATCCTTTCTTTACGTCTGAAATCTGGCAGCAACTCCTTCCACCTCTGTCACAAAGCAACATCCAGGCAGCCCACCTGCTCGTGCGTTCAGGACGCAAGTCACGATGGTCTCGAATGAGAGCCTGAGCAGACTAGTGTTAAAGGTCTCCTTAACCAAGTTTCAATACTATACTGATATGCAAAAACACCCATAAAGAATGACCAACGTCACTCTCGGAGAGGTGCTCAGTGCATTTCTTGTGGCTTGACAACTTGACGGCTTGGCAAATGCGCCAAACTCAACAAACGTAGAAACAAGTCCAACTGATTGGGGACATTCTGAACATTCCTACGCATTCCATATAACCCCCGTATTGGCGATGTCTATGATATTCATGGTCTATGACGTTTCCTGGGCATCGAACTTTTTGGATTCCATCAAACGTTTGACAGTTGTGTGAAGCAAGGTCACGAATCATTGTTACTGCAATTAACACTGCGCTACCAAACTTATGAATCATAAAATGACACAAAAGACACGTTGGGCCATTTGGAAACTCCTTTATTCCGACGGCCGCCCCGCCATGTTAGAAACCCCTATTGCTAGCCAGACTATAGGGGCGTAAAGCGTGGAGAACATTGAACAAGCTCTATGCTTGCAGGCTCTTTCAAGGATGACGGAGCCAGCCGGCAAAACAAGTAGCGCGTCCTATATTTGGACGTTTCTTGGATGACCCTGCGCCGGTCGCCTCCGCGCAGATCGCCAAAGCCTTGGCGCCAGACCCGCCCAGCCGAGGAGGGACAAGGGATTGTGCTTGAAGGTCCACAGCTGTGTTTCTGCGCAAAGGCGCGTTGAAGCATGCACCTGCTGTAGACTGAGAGGCTGGCAAGCTGTTACCGTGGTGTATCGAAACTGTAGCCACACGTGTCCTTTGTTGGTTAAGAACGCTAGTCGCTGCTAATCCACGACCAATGCGAGAGATGCAGGCAAAGACCTTCCCTTTTGCGTGGGGTTCATGGGCGCCCTTCATGTGCAACACTTTGGCATTGGGATGAAGCGATGAAAATCCCACTGCCACCGACCCAGGTGGCTGACACTTTGCTTTGGAAAAAGCCGAAGGTGTGGGTGGACCAAGCACCGACTCATCCAAACAGGTTGCTCACAGTTTTCCCGTTTTCTTTGCTGAAGAAGCGAAGAAGCGAACATAGGCTGTCCGAGAATGAGGGGATCCCTGGGATGTCAATGCGTGTTCAATGGATGTTCCTCTGTTTGGTGGTATTTTCATGGAGTTGCCCAAAAGAACGGGCATGGCCAAAAACACCCGGCCAATCAAGTCAGCTCCAATCTTTTACTCGACGCCGAGCATCAAAGCGGAGACTCCTGCGCAAAGGAGCTTGAAATCCGGACATGGACGCAAACGGCCAGGTTGCATGCTCCATTTGCAGTTCTGCCATAGTTTTGTGACGAAACCGACATCAAGAAAAGAATGCAAAAATGTGGTCGCATATGGAAAGAAGAACTGTTTCCACACCGGATATCCTCGGCAAGAACCGGCATCATCCTGCCAAGAACAACCAGTAACTGTATGTAACTACAGTAACTAGTATTTATAAAAAAGTGTAGTCATATACGCCTCCCAAGCTGGTCCGAGCACCGCTCCTCCGCGCCGCCTGCCGACGGCCTGCGTCGCGGCCGCTGGGCCGGATCGATGCCTCGGAGGCTCCGGGCCCGGCGTCCGAGGCAGTCCGGACGCCATCGGAGCTTGGGGCGTTCCCCCAAACCGGAAAGCAATTCACGCCAAAAAACAAGCGGTTTGAAGCAATCCATGATGTCGGTGGGGTTCCCCCCACAATCCAAGACCAAGCAATACCTCTTGTTGAAGCAAGCCAACTAAAACGACCGGTAGTAGTCTCAGCGGGTCCAGCGCACCATCCGTTCTAAAGCCAAACCAACCGCTTTGACGTGCGCAAAGCCATCTGTTCACCTCTGTGTTCAAAATTCCGACATCCCCATTGGTGCAAGGTACAGGCCAAGGTACTGGCGCTGGTCTGGTCCGATTTCCACGTGTATCATATCGACCTCCTTGCCACCCAGCTGTTCAAACTCATCCGGTGAGAGTAGGGGATGTGGAGTTGTCGGCGTGTCAAGTCCCATCGCATATGGCAGAAATCACCTTTAAAAGCCACCGGGTGCTGCCAAAGTCGAGCAAAAAATGTCCGCAATGGTCCAATGGTCAGCATTCTGCAAAATCCAATACCTCTGAGACGGTCCCTGGGTCACAAAAGTAAACAAAAAAACATAACCAGGTTATATACTTTCAGGTCCCCACTCACCCGTCCCGAGAGCCAAACCCGCCCAGAGTGCCAAACCCGCCCAGGTTGAAGGGCACGAACCGCCTGTCCAAATAGCGGACAAAAGGTCGACTTGTTTCACTCATATAATTGTTGCAATGGTTTTCAGCTTTCCATGTTTTGATCGGCTCAGGCCGCTCTATTTCACACCGGGCCAGGACGTCAAGCGATTCTAGGGTGTAGAGGTCTTGGCCTTGACAGGTGCATCGACCCAGAGCCAAACCGAGTCGAATTTAATGACCGTGTCCTTTTGCACGAGCTCGGGTGGTGTCCTTAAATTGCAAGTTGACTTGTCTGGTTGTGCGTAGCACGTAATGGGCTGCTCTGCATTCGCTTTGTTGTAGTGGAACGCATAGTGCTTGATTGTACCCACAGTGCCATACTCGACTTCATTGAAGCATTCATAGGGACTCTTGGCCATCTTCTTTGTGTCTATCATCTTCTTGCAACTCATCTTCTTTGGTACGTGAGAGTAAAGCCAGCCTTCCTGCTTGGCGCAAACACTTATGCGCAACTCCAGCATGTCATCAGTGCATGTTTCCATCTCCTTGGGGATACAGCTGGTAGGTGTATCCTGCATCTGTATCAGAGAAGCTCTCTCGAGTTTCCTTTCTTTGAACCAGTCTTCCTGGAGCGCCTTCTTCCGGATGTTGGGCTGAAGCTGCAGGAGCTGCTCGGTCACTTCTTCCCCAGCCTCCGGCTTTGGCTGCAGCCAGGTGTAGTTCCGGCCCATCTCGGAGTCGACACCTTTTTGGGTCCACAGAAGTTGCAAGTCTTGGCCAACATAGGCCGCGGCCACATCTTTGCCCTCCTGGCTCAGGTCGTTTTTGGAGACCAAGTCTGCATCGTGCTTCTTCAGCACTGAGTTGCACATCTCTTCGCGGCTGGAATTCTTCAAGACCTGAGGAAGGCTACGTATACACGGCAACATCTTTGGTTGTCAAATTGCATCTCTTTGCTTGATGAGTTTAGTGACCTCTCGCCTACAACAATTGCTTTTGGAGTGTGATTTTTTTCTTTTGCAAAAAGCACTTGCAAACAAATACGCTTCGTTGTGTTCAGAGTCCACTGAGATGCTGGCATTGTATTCTGTACAGCACTCAGCCTGCCAATCGGCCTTCTGCTGCTCGTCGAAGAAAGGCCAGGAGATGCAGCTGCGACCGTTCCACCCACAGGACCGGCCGCAGCATCCGAAGATCTCCGCCTCGACCTGCTTCACCACGCGGGCCGCACACGTCTCACCGACGGGCTGCACACGTCCCCACTGTCCATTCATATCAGTCTGTATCCGCCACAAATCCTCCTGCGTCTTCTTCACCAACTCTTTGCACTCGTCTCGGCACACACGGCGCAAATGCCAAACGGCGGTCTTCGGAGCCTCTGCAAGCCAGGCGTCCAAGCGCCCGTAGGGACCCGTCGCCTTTCTATTGGAGAGTTGCTCCTCGCACACGGACACCGAGGGGACTGAGTCCTCGTCGCCCACCAGGGCCGCTGCTTCGCAGAAGGCCAACGCGGCCGTCTCCACAGGGCTCTTCACGCTCTTTGCCCACGCCTCCGGTCCCTGGCATCCGCACCCCGCACCGTTGCCCGCAGCGGAGAAGACATGTTGCCCCGGCCTCGAGCACTGGGAGTTGGCTACCATGTTGACAAAACAGTGGCAAAGGACTTCTCCGGTCGCTCGGCCGGTCCTATACTTCTTGGCGTCAAACCTCTCGCAAGGATCGTCTTGCGCCACAAGGGCCGCCTGCCTCATCAGTTCAAGGCTAGGGCGCGCGGCCTTCACCACGGGTACCAAGAGAAGAAGACTTGCCAACCAACGAAAAGCGCACATGGCGCTGGAATGGATCGAAACATCGAGAGAAGATCGCCACAAACAATATGTGGCTCGCGCCGAAAGAAGTGAACGAGCAGTAGTGGAGGTGGTGGCTCCATAGAGCACTTGAGTGCTGAAAAAAAAAGGTACATCATTTGCTAGAGAAACATGTGATTTTCATGATTCCCTTCTTTGCACCTCTGTCACATCAGGTCGGAACCGCCCACCTCACCAGGCAGGATGCCCCACAAAAGAGCCTTAGCAGACTAAGAAGCACTGACCGTTGCAGTGACCTGTCCACTTTGAAACTTTGATGTTGAAAGTCTCCTAGTCTCCTTAACCACGTGTGTTTTCGCGCTGGTGAATTCTGACACGCAGAGAAACCTACGAAGAAAGAAATAAACCAAAACCAACCCACACTCCGAGAGGTGTATTCATGCACCTCTCGGGGAGTGGAAGGGACTAGCCACTGTGCCAGACACAAAGAAAACAAAAGGCACCGGCGTAGCATCTTCAAAATAAGAAGCCTGGAATTCACATCACCCCGTCCTGTTCCCTCTGAGACATGCAGTCACCTGGTACAGAATTGAACATGTCGAACTCATATGAAGTGATCAGCAAATGCCAGAGACTTGTGCAAAACCTTGACCCTGACCCCCCAAAGAAATCCAAAGAACACTTAAGCAAACCAACCCGCGAGATGGAAAACTGCAACTCGGTTGCTCCCTGATTGCAGAACTCCCGAGGCTGCCAGTGAGTCTGCGTTTCTGGGTGATTGGGAATGGGTGTGTCATTTGGCTAGATTGCTCTCTCTTCTTCCCTGACCCTCTACAATCTTGGAAAACTTGTTGGTCTAGTTTTGCCACAGCCAACATCTTCACACCAACCCCCCCCGCCAAAAAGGACAAGACAGGACAGCAGCTACGACTTCCCACAGGGACCCCACCGCTTTTGTCAGCATCATCCCCCGTAGAGGCTTGAAGCCTCAGATGAGGTGAAGCAAGCAGCCCACGATTCATGTCTGAGAATTTGGAGTAACTTGAAGGGGTCAAAGTTGCTTGATAATCCCAATCCCTTGGGTAGATATGCATTTTGAGACCTTTGATGACCTTTGGAATAGTTTGTGGAAGACCACACAGAGGCCACGTGGTGATGAGCCGACGAGTTTTTGGAATTTTCTTGGGGCACTTCGAACCCCCATAGCCGGTCGCTGCCGTGCACAAAGACTGAAAGCTGGGTTCCCACAAGTCAACAGCCCAACCAATTGGTTCTTCATTCCAGCCATCCCAAGCCCCTGGTGGCCGGCAGGAAACGAAGAGTCTCACTTGGCTGGTACACTTCTGGTCTGAGGGTCAGAGTTCAATCCGATGAACTCCGTCCGTCGGGTGAAAATCGACAGCCGGGCTTCCCACTCGCACCCGTCCACCAAAAGAGCTCTGAGCGGGTGTCCATGTTCTCCTTCTGAGGCCTGCCCTGCAAAACTGCGGGATGTCACACAGTCAACGAGCTGCACATGCTTTCTAGCAAAGAACAAACGTCATGGTCGAGGTGTCACACTTCCCTACGACAGGATTGACGATTCTCTGTTTACCCGTGCCAGGTCGGAACCCTTTTTTGGCAGAGCACAAGCAACTCTGGACGCCGTTTAGGCACTCTTGGCGCTTTCGGAACTGGACGCATCGATCCAGAACCAAATCCTGTCAAACACAGTGCCCTCCGTGGCCTCCGCCAACGGTGTCTTCGACATGCAACTGGTCTCCCCTGACCATGCGTAGCACTTAATGGGGTTCTCGGTGTCCTCTTTGTCGTAGTGGAAGGCGTAGTACTTGATGTTGTTTGTGCCCACAGTGTCGTACTTGGCCTCAAAGCATTTGTGAGGGCTTGTAGCCGGCTTCATGGTTTTTCTCATGTCCTTGCACTTCAGCTTGCTTGGCACCCGCGTGAAAAGCCAGCCTTCCTGCTTGGCACAAACACTGGTGCGCCATTACTTCATGTCATCAGTGCACCTTTTCATTTCTTCCGGATCGCAGCTGCCGCCTGTGTGCCCAATCTGCATGAAAGAAGCTCTCTCGAGCTTCCTCTCTTCGGACCAGTCTTCCTGGAGCGCCTTCTTCCGGATGTTGGGCTGAAGCTGCAGGAGCTGCTCGGTCACTTCTTCCCCAGCCTTCGGCTTTGGCCGCAGCCAGGGTCGACACCTTTTTGGGTCCACAGAAGTTGCAAGTCTTGGCCAACATAGGCCGCGGCCACATCTTTGCCCTCCTGGCTCAGGTCGTCTTTGGAGGCCAAGTCTGCATCGTGTTTGTTTAGAACCGAGTTGCACATCTTTTCGCGGCTGGAGTTCTTCAAGACCTGATACACAGCAACATCTTTGGTTGTCAAATTGCATCTCTTTGCTTGATGAGTTTAGTGGCCTCCCGGGTCCCGCCTGCAACAAGGGCTTTTGAAGTGTAATCAAGCACTTAACCAAAGTAGCAAATCTATATAATTTTTTGCCCAACGGAATTCATCGGACTGAAAAAGCACTTGCAAACAAATGCCCTTCGTTGCGTTCAGAGTCCACTGAGATGCTGGCATTGTATTCTGTACAGCACTCAGCCTGCCAATCGGCCTTCTGCTGCTCGTCGAAGAAAGGCCAGGAGATGCAGCTGCGACCGTTCCACCCGCAGGACCGGCCGCAGCATCCGAAGATCTCCGCTTCGACCTGCTTCACCACGCGGGCCGCACACGTCTCACCGATGGGTATGGGTGCTCTCCATTGTTTAAAAGCCGCAATGCCCTTCATGTCAGTCTGCATCTGCTTCATTTCCCCCTTGGTCTTGTTCACCAACTCTTCACACTCGTCTCGGCAGACATGGGCCAAATGCCAAGCGGCCGTTTTCGGAGCTTGAAGCAAGGTGTGCAGGCGCCCATAGGCACCAGCTGCCTTGCGATTGGAGAGTTGCTCCTCACACACAGACACCCTGGGAACTTTGTATTCTTCACCCGTCTTGGTCGCTGCTTCGCAGAATGCCAGCGCGGCCGTCTCCACCGGGCTCTTCACACGCTTTGCCCACCTTGCCTTCTCCCAGCATTGGCACCCCTTGGCATTGCCCACACGGCCGGAAGACACGTTGCCCCGGCCTCGAACGGAGTTCGCAACCTTTCTCCCCTGCAAACAAGAGCAAAGGACTTCGGTCGCTGGGTCGGGCCGCAAGAGTTTGGCTTCAAAGCGCGAGCAAGGGCGGCTTCGAAGCTCCTTGTGCCGCGAGGGCCTCTTGCCTCAAAACCTCAAGGCCCGGACGAGCGGCCTTCGTAGCAAAAGCAGAAGACTTGCCAACCAACGAAAAGCGCACATGGCGCGGGAATGGATGGACACATTGTGAATATTGCCACAACTCAGGTGTCTCTTGCCAAAAGTTGGGCACGCAGCAGTGCAAAGCACACACACAAGCAAACAAAAACAAACTCGCGCGTAACTTTAATGTTTCCTTGTTTGGGTCAGAAGTCTGGCAGCAACTCCTTCCACGTCTGTCACATCAGGGTCGAAACACATAAAACTGGAATCCAAGCCCACCTGGCCAGGCAGAATGCAAGTCATGGTGCTCTCGAATGAGAGCCTCAGCAGACTCCCAAACACAGCAATGACCTTTTCTGGGACTGGAAACTTCAATGTGAGGGTCTCTTTGATTAAGTTTGGGTATTCTGCTTTGTGCTGGGGTATGCCACAGCCAATATGTGGCTCACGCTGAAAGAAAGTGGACGAGCAGTAGTGAAGGTGGACAACTGCTTCCACTACTGCGCAGCAAAGCACACGAGCTGAAAAAAAAACAAAAACTTGCGGTATTTCCCAGAGAAACACGTAGCAGCAACTCCTTCCACCTCTGTCACATCAGTCCAAGGCATCCCACCTCACCGGGCAGGATGCCCCATCAAGATGGCCTTGAATGAGGGCCTCAGCAGACTTTAATGTTGAAGGTCTCCTAGTCTCCTTAACCAAGAGTGTTTCCGTGTTGGGGGATGCTGAGATCACAGAAACTTATGAAGAAAGCAACAATAAACAACCCACACTCCGAGAGGTGTTGAATGGAGTTATCCCGTCCTGTTCCCTCTGAGACACGCAGTCAAATGACACAGATTTGAAAATTTCGAGCTGATATGAAGTGATCAACCAATGCCAAGCGCACAACTCAACTTCCCCAGCGCGGTGCCTGCCACTCCTCAGAGCAACAGAGCAATGTCAAGCAGATGAGAACACCCACAACATCCATCTGAGGCCTTGAAGAGACTTGCGAGGTCTTGGAGGACTTGAAGATTATTCCATGAGGCCTTGAACAGACTTGCGCAAAACTTTGACCCTGCCTCAAAACAATAAAGCACAGTAAGCACAGAAGCGAACCAATCCGCGAGAGCAAACACCCAAGGCTGCTGAAGTAGACAAAAAATAACGCTACTCCGTTCCTCTCGAGTCAGGTTTCAAAACTCTTGGGGCTGCTATTAGCTATTAGAACGAATGTGAAGTGGGGCAAGCCCCCAGCTCCCATGCTTAGCCTTCAGCTGCCCGAGTCGCTCTTTGTGAATCAGCTTTCTATCAGGCCCTGGCACAGTTATGGTCTCTTTCACGCCTCACATAAGATGTGCCCTCAGTGACTGCAAACTTGTCAGTTTCTAGCATCACAAGCTTGGTGAACCATACTTAATCTTCAAAGAATTTGGCAGACTGAAAAACGGAATAGAACTTCATTGTTCTGTATCACAGGGCCAAGGGTCCTGATGCTGTTGCACTGAGCAACGCATTCAACTAACATCTCTCTCTCTCTATCTCTCTGAGCTTCAGAAAGACATGAATCAACTCTTCCAAGATTGCAGAGAGAGCAGGCTTAAGATAATCAACCCAGGCCAGCGAAAGCCTTGAGAAAATTTAAGAACTCAATGATCACATCTTTCTCCCAAAACCAGGGTGACCTGAACTCGCGATCAAGAATTTCGGAGTGTGTTGCGAGCACTTCCCCCTGAAGGCCGGGGTAAAGCAGCAGGAGGTCCAGCAGAAAACGTATTGCCTTTGGGTCTGCCCACAACTGGCTAAGTTGGCAGATCCTTTTCTTGACCCATCACAATCAATTGATATTTTTCATGTGCTCAACAGTAGTCAAAAGTTGTGTAAGTTGCGAATTCCAACCGCAAATTGCACAAGCAAGCTCAAGAAAGAATTTGGTATCACCTCGGCAAGAAAATCACTCTCCTGCTTAACAAAACGGCTCAAGACGTGATCTACGCTCTGAGTGAAGGAGGCATTCCCCCTCTTACATGGCGTGGAACATTAAACCAAGGTGGACATCGAGACGGCAAAAGCAAGCCACTGGGTCGGCTGAAGGTCCAATACCTCTTGCCCCAAACGCCTACAACAAACCAACTCCGAAAACAACCAGTAGAACTCTTCAACAGCTCCAGCAAAGCCACCTGTCCCGAGTGCCTGTCTCCAGCCCCGTTTGAAGCGCACGGACCACCTGTCCCAAGCGCATGGTCGGTCAAGCAGACGCTACGAAACAACAACAAACATGGCAAAAAAAAGGCACAAATGACGTGTCACATCTGTTATATAAAAAGACTGCAAGTCTCACGGTTCCATGACTTGCAAACTTTGCCGCCATCACATCGAACAAAGCACGGCAATGATGGGTTCCAAGCAGGCCACACCGAAGCCACACCCATCAATAGTGTACATATAAGTATATGACTTGTCATACCTATTGTCCATGTCCAAGCTGGCAGCCCGAGATTGTTTTCTTCAGGAGCCTGAAAGACCTCAAACGTTTCCGAACGCCGTTTTGGCATCGGCAGCACTGGATGCATCAATCCAGAACCAAATCCGGTCGAATTCCATCTCCTGGGCCTGTTGGAGGGAGCGTGGCTTCTGGTTGCATGGTGTCTTCTCTGCTGCGGCATAGCACCAAATCGGATGTTGCCCTGCGGCTGCATCAGACAAGTCCACCTTCTTGTACTGAAACAAGAAGTGTCGGATGGTGCCCACATCACCGTACTGCGTCTTCTCCAAGCATTCGTAGGGGCTCTTGGCCATCCTCTTGTTTTTCGTCATCATTCTGCACGTTTTTTTTACATGGGTATACTGCCACCCTTGCTGCTTTGCACAGGCGCGCGTGCGCCACTTCTGCATGTCACCCGTGCACGTTTCCATGACCTTGGGATCGCAGCTGGCACCTGTGTCTCGCATCTGCATGAGCGAAGCTGACTCCATTTTCTTCTCCTTAAACCAGCCTTCGTTGAGCGCCTTCTTTCGGATGTTGGGCTGAAGCTGTAGGAGCTGGTCAGTCACTTCCTTCCCAGCCTCCGGCTTTGGCTGCAGCCAGGTGTAGTTCCGGCCCATCTCGGAGTCGACACCTTTTTGGGTCCAGAGAAGTTGGAAGTCTTGGCCAAGATAGGCCGCGGCCACATCTTTGCCCTCCTGGCTGAGGTCGTTTTTGGAGGCCAAGTCTGCATCGTGCGTGCTCAGCACCGAGTTGCACATCTCTTCCCGGCTGGAGTTCTTCAAGACCTGAGGAAAAAGCTATATAAACAGCAACATCGTCGGTTCAAAAACCAGCAGCCCCTCTTGGCTTCATGAGTTTAGTGGCCTCTCCTCTGCAGCAAGTGCGTTTGAAGTGTGATCAGGCACCTAACCAAAGTACCAGATCCAGATTGTTATCCATCCGGTTCTTTTGGGAGAAAAATGTCTTTGGGAAAAAGGGCACCTACAAGAACATGCATTTCGTTGTTTTTGGAGTCCACTGAGGCGCTGGCATTATATTCAGTGCAGCACTCAGCCAGCCAATCAGCCTTTTGCTGCTCATCGAAGAATGGCCACGAAATGCAGCCGCGGCCGTTCCAACCACAGGAACGGCCGCAACAACCGAAAACCTCTGCTTCGACCTTCTTCACCACCCGAGCAGCACACGTCTCCCCGACAGGTCTGGCTCCTGGGGTGATGTCCCTCAGGATCCATTTTAATTGTTCCTTCGTTTCGTTCACCAGCTCTTCGCATTCATCGTGGCAAACACGGGTCAAATGCCACGCGGCGGTCTTTGGAGCCTGTTGAAGCAACACAGCCAAGCGGCCGAAGCCACCATTTGTCGTGCCATGTGAGAGCTGCTGCTTGCACTTTGACGCTGGAGGGACTTTCGACGGAAGCGGCTCCTTCATCTTGGCCGCCGCTTCGCAGAATGCCAGCGCAGCAGTCTCCACCGGACTCTTCACGCTTTTTGCGTAGATTCCCGCTTGCTTGCAGTGGCATCCAAGGACGTTGCCCACAGCAGGGAAAACTCGTTGGCCTGGTCTTGAGCACTTGGTGCTCGCAACTGCTGCAAACTTTTCAGGGCAAAGGCAAAGAACTTCTCCAGTCGCTCGGTCGGCACCAGCTGCCTCGGCTCCAAATTTCTCGCAAGGATCTGTCTGGTCACAGCGGCATTCGGCTGGCATTCGGGCAGACAGGCTAAAGAGTTTGGCGAGAGGCTTCTCACAGTGATTGCTTGTTGAAAGTCCCTTATGACATTTGCACTGTTCGTAGCCGTTGAGCATCTTGGCATGGAACTTTTTGCAAGGGTTTTCTTCGCATCGACACTTGGAGGGAGTCTCTCTCAGGATGAAGTCTTTGACCAAAGGTCTGTCACACTGGACATTCGTGAAAAAGTCCTCTTGGCATTGGCACAAGGTGCCTTTCTTGAAGATTCTTGAGAGTTTCCGCTTCCTCTTGGCACCCAACTCGGCGCACGGATCTTTCCAAAAGTTGCTCTTGGCCACAAGGGCCTCTTGCCTCAAAATCTCAAGGCCCGGGCGGGCGGCCTTCACCACGGGTACCAAGAGAAGAAGACTTGCCAAACAACGAAAGGCGCACATGGCGGGGGGATGGATCGAAACATCGTGAATATTGTCACAACTCGGTGTGGCTCGCGCCGAAAGAGGTGGGCAAGCAGCAGTGCAAGTGCCCATCAACTGGCACAGGAGAGCGCACACACACACACAAGCTCAAACAAAAACAAGATGGAGCCCACGAACCCGAATGCAAACACATACGTCAAACCACTGCGTATAAAAAGAGACACAGCCGGTCAGAATCTCTTTTTCACTCTCTGGCACGCTGTTGGACATCATGCGCTGGGGACTCCACCACCAAGGCAGCATGCGCTGGGGACTTCACCACCAAGCTCCGTCTTCATCATGAAGGGTCTTTGTTTTGCATTCAAATCAAGCACTGGCGTAAAGGTTCTGGCAGATCCGCGGCACGAAAGAAACAATGGCATTGTCCCAAAATCTCGAAAATAAGCACTTGAAAATGATAACCGTCCACATAATACAGAGAAATCCACAACTGCGGCGTCTGATCTTCTTGTAAATAGGAGTGTAAGACCGTGCGTTGTTGTGGTTCGCCTGCATCGACAAGAAGTATATGAGACACACACACACAACGGAAGTGAAGAAAACTATCCTATAGGTTATGTCATTAGTCCAACATTCGTATGGATTTATCGCACACGCGTTTGTTAGATGTGTCACCGGGGCCTCGAACAACAGACGTCTGGGTCCAAGTATTTCCAGCAATGATGAAGCCAAGATTGAGCTCCGTGGCCAACGCAACAAAGTCGACGTCTGTTGCCCAATGAGTATTCCCACAAGTTTCGAGAGCAGCACTCACGGCATGCTGCAAAGACACCAGGGCCGCAGTGCCAGAACGCACTCTCTTGCTCCTCGTCACGGAGCTGTCGCCCTCTTTGTAGCGAACTAGCATGGCGTCGTCTACAACTTCTGCTCCGAGGACATCGTTGGCGTCTTTCAAGAAAGCAAAAGGAGAGCCACGCAAGAGTGCGATCATGGACCAGTCGGCCAGCCATGTCCTCGCAGCTTCGCGCACCAAACACCCGACGACGAAGTTCAAGAATGCTTTTGGCGTCTTGGCGCGCATGTGTTGCCCGACAATCTTGCGGAGAGCAGCCGCGACCGTAGTTCGGTCGTCCCAGTCAGTCACTTCATCGGAAGTGAAAAGATTCAAGAGTCGTGGGTGGACCGCTCGCGCCTGCATCAGGACGACCGCAGTGGACAAGAAGAAGCAATCGCCGCCTCCACCAGCTTCGGCGGCAAAGACACGCAGAGCCCCGTGTTCTCGGAAAAATTGTGCCGTGGGAGTGGCCACCTCTTCCAGCACAAGAGACCAGATGTCGCAGAAATCCGTTCGCAGCTGACGCCACTTGGTGGGGTCGTACTTCCTTTTGGTTCCCCTGAACTCAGTCACTACACTTGCCCTCGTAGCCGCCGTCCAAGCCCCTGGGACGTACTGAAAGCGACCCTCTGGTGTTCTGCGGGTCGGTCGCGGTAGGTGTTCCGCGGCTGGAAAACCAGGCAGATGTCTGCGAGCTTCTTCGATTGCGGAGCGAGACAAAAGCGCAACCTCCTGCAAACAATGATACAAGATCGACACACGCGCGGTTGCGGATGGTATGACTCGTGGCTATTTCATATGTTATCACTCGAGCAGTGTGAATCAGTCCGTGGATATCCAACATAGCACATTAAACAAGCCAACAAGCACATCAGAGTCCTCCAGTCGATCCAAAAACTCGGCAATATACGCAGGTGGACCAGTCTCAAAGATTGAAAAATCAATATCGCCTTCTGGCGTCTCCGGTAAATTGCGAAATAAGGAATACTCGAGAGCTTGAGCGCGTCCAAGAATCATGTACAAGTGCTGCGTATAATCGTCTGCCGAAAAATAATCTGGTTTCGAAAAATCAATCGTGTGCCCAACTCCTTTGATGGTCTTGCCTTGGGCATTGTTGTAGGTTCCAGCAGCCAGCGGAGCAAGAGGATACTGTATCCGAGTAACATCCAACATCAAGGCTCCTTTGCGATGCAATTGCACGCGGAAAGAATCTTCACTCGGTTCTAAATGCCACACTCCAGGCAGAAGCTGTCCAGTATAATCTTCTTGCTGATCCTGTTGCAAGTCAGGTGTGACTCAGAGATACATGGGTCCTACAGAAGGTTAGATTAAACTGCCTAAAAACCGATGTTCACAAACTATGCAGGACACTTGTCTTCAGTCACATCCGCGTATATCAGACTATATTTAGTTGCAGGCCCAGGCCTCAATACGCAAGGTAATCGAGGCAGGGAGATAGTCCAGGCGAACATATCCAGTCTCCCAGCACGGATGCGATCCCGCGGGGACTCCACCACCGGCGGGCGCGCCAGGCACGCCAAGGCGTTCGTTGGGATGAAATTGAATGGCGATCACCTCGGCCGGACACTCTTGCACGATTTCTGGTGGCAAGAGTTTCTTCGTCACCTTCACCTTCAAGCCCAAGTGCAGCGGTAGAAACGACATGAGGTTGCCAGTTTTACTTGCCATGTTGGTCAAGCCCAGAATCTCGCGCAGAATGGATTTATCGTTGGTGAACTCACTTTGATGCACCAAATCCACTGCTTGAACGTAGTAGAGCAGACGACCTTTGTCATGTAGCAACGACGTCAAGAAGGATTCCTGCTTGGCGAAGACCGCTCCGAAGCGAGACTGAAAGGACCTCGAAAGATACGTCGGAAAGTGTCGACGAATCAGCTGGGGACGTCCAGTCTGGGTGTTGCGGAAAGCTGCAACACCAAAGCTCGCGCGAGCAGACTCGTATGCGCACAACTGCTGGAGACGAGCCACCTGGTCCCAGTTCACTGCGCTGAAGACACCGCGCGCGAAGAAACCTGGAGGCCCGGTGGGCGCAGTGGAGCCTGAAGCCATGGTGTAATCGCTGCTCAGACGAGGATCGCCTCCCAGCGGGCGATACACCTGCTTGCGAATGGCCTCCTTCAGAGCCGTAGACAAGGGACGACCCCCGACCACTCGCATCGTCTCCAAGAGCTCGGCCAACGGATCTCCTTTCCGAAAGCGGTGAGAGCCTCTGAACAAGATGACCTGTTTCAGAAAGGCGCGAAAGACTGCAAGTCCATGTTCATCGATGTCGACTTTCTTCCTGCGCTGTTGGTCGTCCATCTTCTCGTATCGCGGCGCCCCCGGCACTTCAATGCCGAAGGCTTCCATGAGGGATCTGGCTCGCACGGGGTTCAACTGCAAGAAGTCACCAGCCAAAATCTGACACAAGACATTGCCGAAAATGTTGCTCAGAAAATCCTCCGGAGAAAGGTCGAAACGACCATAGCAGGCCGATCCGTGTAGCACTGCCAACAAATTCGGTGCAGTCAAGCTAATCTCATCAACAAACACCAGCGAAAGCCGCCACCACTTACGCTGCAAAGCCTCCTTCTTGGTCTTAGAGGGCTTTTGCAGCAACAGCTCTTGCGCCCGTGTGAGACCAGCCATATGGTGGAACGTGCTTCCTCCTATGAGTCGAGCGGCAGAGTTTTGGGCAGCGACCCCTCGGGTGGTCCCAGGTAGAAACTCGTTGTAGACCGGGAGGATGACTTCTTTCAGCGTGAAAGTTTTGCCGCTCCCTCCAGGTCCATGTACAAAAATACGCGCCACCATGTCCTACGTGGGCTCACGAGCAAAAGGAACACGCAACAACCTAATCCAAAATCTATATTTCGCCAACGGGGTGCGATCATTGCGCAAATGAAGTCGTACATTCTCTATGTAAAATACAAAAATCATGTATCCTTGCTACAAGCTATGTTTATGTCATTAATTAGACATTTAGTTCCGCCGATGGAAGCGCGTGGGCACGCGAAATTTTGGACTCCATAATCCTTCTCAACCAAAGCCAACAACGGGTCAAGTCGAGTGCGATCTCCGAAGCAGTGAGCCAGTCCAGCTTCGTTGGCTTTGTTCCACAGGCGCTGCAAGGGCGCGATGGCGAGGATCACAGCATTTTACTGATCTGGAGAGATTGCATACTCTGCTCCGTCTTGGTGAGTGGACTGAAGCACAGGTAGCTTCTGCTGCACCAGCTGCAAAGCTTTCTCAGCCGGAGACCGCTGCCACAGGGGCCAAGCCGGCCTCAACGTCTCGTGTAGAGATGTCAACGCATTCATCGTCTGTGTCATGTGCTTGACCCAGTTCCGCATCCTTGCGAGACTCCTGGAGTGCTTTTTGCTGTTGCAGGCCACTCAACACTTCTTGGGTGGTAGACGTCTTCGAATCGATTTCACGCCCGCGCAGACAAGAGCGTGGCTGCTGCAGTTCCTCATATTTCGTAGCATATTGCTTCACGAACTCAGCCGAACGCTTGGTGCTGGAACTGGTTCTGCCTGGACCGCTGGTTTTCACATTCAATCTGTGCGCCAAGCCCAAGACATCTTTTTGATCCACGTGCAGGCGAGGTTGGTACTGGACTTCAGGTTTGATCGGGCAATCGTCCACATCGAGATCGGATCGGTCTTCCACCTCGCCCATGTCCACAAACTCAGCCCTCGCTCCCAAGTCGTCATCTTCGTCAGGAGCGACTGTGCTCTTGCGTCGGTCGGGGTCTCCGACGAGCTTCTGACATCAAATCCAAATTAGCACTCACCTCTCGACTGACGACAGCCACATACTCTCCCGCGCTCAGCTGCTGCGGATGCCACCCGTAGGAGGCGCAGTGCACGGAAGAATGTAGACCAAGAATTTCGATGCAAGCTTTGATGTGCCCTGCAGAGTTTCCAATCACCGTGAGGACGTTGTCTTCGTCCATGACTGCACCGACAAAGTCGAAGATCACACCCAAAACTCGCTCGCTGAGACGAGGTAGTTCATATCCGACGCGCTTGGGGGCAGTCTGTTTCCCTCGACGACGGCGCAACTGCGTTGTCGTGGCCAGAGGTCGTTTCCGCCCAGTAAAACATTCCAACAAAAATTGCAGCGTGCCGCTGGTGTGACCGGCCCCAGGAACTTTGTACTCCCTCACGGCAGTCGTGTCAACTACCTTGCATTGCAAATTCGAACAGAGCATTGACGATTTATACCATCTCGTGGATAATCATATAATCACTAAAGGCGTTTCTAGCGACGA